GGAGGGTACATATAACTCTCCACTACATTTCAAAGTCTAATATTATACTTTCTACTCCATTTTTAGGAAGCTGCAAGTTACTTGTTCCCTTTGGCTCAGCTTAGCTTTGTGATCCACTGTTGCTGTTTTTCTTTCTTGAAATGAAATTTTAACACGGCAGATATTAGCCCTTAGGACTGAATCTGGACACCACTGTTTTAACCCTTTCATGCATGAATTATGATAGTATATGTTATGATTTTTTTACCAAGTGTTTTTATTACTCTTTATGAATGAAAAAAACATTTTCATAAATTTAAAAAAAATATATATACTTTCTTTAGGGAGTTGGTAACATGTCCACTTGGGTGGACAATGCGCATTTGTGCAACTGATATAACCTTGTTTTGTTTTGTTTTAAAGAAAACTATTGTTACTTGATATCCCCATATTTTTTTACCTGCAAGGATCGCCTAGAATAAAAGGAATGAGCAGATATTCCTCTCCCTCAATGCTCCTCTGTCGGCCATTTTTTTTTTTTTTGGGAAAAAAAAGTCACTTGCAAAGGCTGACGAGTAGGTGGCAGTTTGACAAGTGGCAGGATGATACATTAGCGTCCACTGTAGTAACATATGTGCAAATGTGACATTAAAACATGTTCATTTAAGAGAAAACAACCATTTAATAACTGTCCACTGTAGTGACCACTATGCATGAAAGGGTTAAAGATTAACATGACATTATAACAATGTGAGAAACTCAGGGCAGATATTATTTGTAGTTTATTCATTTTATTAAGGCGTTAGTTGTTGCCAATGTGGCCAAGTTGTTCAGATGAGTTCTCATATGAGAGCTGTAGTTTGTTTCTGGTAATAGATTCAACATTAAACCTTTATTCAATAGTGAAAGTTTGAGGAGAATCAAGAAAATCCTGTTTTCTTTTTGGTTTGTTTTTAAATAAGAAATCAAATGAGCTGTCTTTGTTTTCTGTGTCATTTTTATGCTGAACTTCTTTCCAGGTGGGGTTGAATCTGTAGCAGGTGGTTCTACGCATCAATACATCAGGTGGATTCTGAAAGTTAGAAGGTTCTTTAAAATTACTCTAAAATTATACAGAAAAGTGCTGATATTAGAACATTTTATTAGAATTTTTGAAAACTAATACTTTTTAAATACCTACTTGAACATTCATTTCGTCCATATAAATCTAGTTTTTTATTAAAACAACAAAAAGAAAAAATAAGATTAATACAAAGTGGAAGGTAAATTGATTCAGACACCCACCTCCAACGTGTTTGACATTTATGCACTATTTTTATGCACAGAATGTATACAAAACGATCTTTATACATTAAATATATATTTTCTTTCATAGATTCATACGGAAAACAGGAAAACAACATTTTCATATTTCATTTGATTTAATTTGGGGATACATTCTTTTATACCTTTCAAAAAATGATAATATAGGCTATAACAGTCAAGTGGAGCGCCCTGCGAGTCAAATATTGAAAGGGATACCCGGTGTGTCAGCATGTGACGCAGAGGGAGCCTGACCAAACGTCCAAATGTGACGAGTTGGGAGGGAGAATGTGTTGGAATATTTTCTAAATTGAACACTTCAATACTTCAACTAAGTAGATGTTTAAATGAGTAACTTTTAATTGTAGTTGATTAAGTTTTCACTAATAGCATCAAGTACTACTATTGAGTGCTTTGTCCACCACAGTGGAGATTATTTTACTCCAAAGATCTGAATGGGTGTGTACATGGATGCAAATCAGAATGGAAATCAGAAAAAAACTCCTTTGGATTGAAATTTCTTTCCAAATTCAGATTCAGATTTATTGCACAATATTTCAAACTATGGTAGAAAACCTTAGAAAGCGGCCAGTGAAGCTTTAGAACTCGCTCCTTTGCCTCATTAAATGCAAACTTTGACTGAACTCACCTTTAGGTGAGGATAAAAATATATTACTGCAGAAAAATGTGCTTTGTTTGATGCTAATTAGCTGGTGCAGTTAGGAAGCTTTTCTAATTGATCTCACGCACGCGTGCGTGCGTGCGTGCGTGCGCACGCTCACCCGCTGCCATGGAAACGGAACACCAGCCATCTTTAACCCATTTCTAACCTGAACCTTGGAGAGAGAAGTTGCTGCTTTCTGTGGTTTGCTAACCTGCTAAAGATGGGCTTCGCACCAATGGACAACTGGTTCCTGGATCATCTGGAAGGTTTATGTCACTCTTTTACTATGTTAATTAAAAACAAAAATGTTATGTGAAAAATTATTAGTTTGATGTTTTTTAATGGAGGTTGTGACAGCTAGCTTAGCATCTAGCATCTTTGACATCTCAGAGATTAAAAGTGTTTTGTGTTTTTGTCAGGAATGTTAACAGTAATTTAGTGATTTAAAAAAATATATTTGTGTTAGAGAAAAACACCTTTGTTGAATTTGAGATGAAATGTTTGTAAACTAGATGTGCTAGGTCTATGATTTTTAAAAAATGCCCTGAAAATAAGTTTGCTCTATATGAAAATGTTGGTGAAATTACATTAAATAAATATAAAAAAGACGCTTGAAGGACATTTAACGTAATATATTATTAAGCTGAACTGTTTATTTTTTTGTATTTGATAAAAAAAATATATATTTTTGAGTATTTTGGAAGTTGACTGAATTTCTCCTGATAAACAACTGGGAAATAAAAGATAAAGATTCTCAAGTTGTTTAGTTTAGTTAATGTGTTTAGGAAATGTTAGGTTTATAGCCAGTTTTTTTTTTTTGCTTTAAATCTATTTTTATTGGTTGGAAATGGGAGGAATGATAACAGATATAATGATGTAAAACAAAAACACCTTTTGGTTTGTGAGAATAATCTTTGATGAATTTAATGCGGGAATGGTTGAAAAAATACAAAAAAAATGTTTTAGGATAAAACTTTTTTTTATATATATATATATATATTTGAACTTGAAAAGGAAGATTTTTTTAAAACATGCAGTGGTAAACATATTGGTTTCCATGGAAACCTTAGTACAGGGCTCGGCAACCTTTAACACCGAAAGAGCCATTTGATCCGGTTTCCACGGAAAAGAAAACACTGGGAGCCGCAAATACTTTTTGACATCTAAAATTAATTTATTTATGAACGCATTTATTAAATAGAAAGAAAAAACAACTTCCCTTTCATGCTTCAGTACGTGCAGAACACTTAGTGCTTTGACTACCCTTTTGAAGATGGGCTATCATCTTATCTAAAATGAAGATAACACTGTATATATTGCTTTTTTTTTTACCTTTACACTTTTACACTTAAGTGTGTTGGTTAAATCCACGAAGTGCTACAGAGAAAATTAAATTTTATCTAAAGAACACATTTTGAATTCTTGAAAAAAATAATACAATGTCTCTTTCAAATAAAATTAAAAACTGAACTTAAATTATCCATGTAGCAAACAAAAGCAAAAAAAAAACTGCTGTGAGCTGTCATCCTTATATCGCCTTTGGGCTTTCAGAGCTTGTTGCGGAGTCTTGACCTGAATTTCAAAAATAAATTAGGGAAAAAAGAACTGTGTCACTAAACAATGAAAAATAAATATTTGCAAAAATATCTGCATAAATATTTATTTAATCTGGTTAATGGGACTTCTGCTCCTGAACCTCTGAGCACAGCGCTGCAAATCGGGGCTGTACGACGTCACTCTCATCTTTATGCAGGACTGTAAGCTGTCATCTATGAGGCGTTAGCAGTGTTTGTTTTTAATGTAGTTCATGGATCACAATAATGTTTCTGCAGCCCTTGTTTTGATCTTCAGGTGAATGTAAATAATTTAATCTTATCTGTCCCCTGAAATAATACAGGTTGTTCACAGAGGACTTTATCATTTTCTAGATCTTCAAAACATTTAACGCTGGATGGTTTCTTCTAAACAATTAAAAGATCTATAAAGGATCTCCTTTCTTAGATTTGTAGAAAAAAAAAAGAATCTCAATAGTTTGGCATAAAGTTTGCTAATCTCCATTTCTGCTCTGGGCTTCCTATGTGTGTTAATTAAGGTTTTTATTTCTACTCTAGGAAGGGGTCTGATAAGCTGAGGTTCTGATTCTGATCATTTAGGTCTGAAATTTAAAGCCTGATGTTTTTAAACCTTTATTTCTGTTAATTAGGATAATTTTCTGCTTATAGTAAATAAACTTCAAAGATTTATGATTATATTACTAAATCACACATTAAGCTTTTTTTCTGATAAAGAAATATATTTAATGGATCAAAACAATTTCTAATTTGGTAGTATGAGTTTAATGCAAAAAATGTTTCCTGACAGTTTAAAGTGTCCTTCAATCTGAACTAATCTAGATGCATAGTCTAGGTCACTAGTTACCAAAGGGGGTGGGTGCCCCCTAGGGGGAGCTCAGTCTCATTGCAGGAAGCGTGGTAAAAATAAACTAAATAAATTGACCATTTATTAATTGATAATATTCTGAAAATAAGTTCCAAACCCTACTCAACAGTAAAATAAACATTTACATTAAAAAAAATTACAATTTAATGGCAGTCTTGTGATTTAAAAGATATCCTCAATGTGATGGTGAAGTCATTAAAATCCTCCTCAGGCTGATACTGAGACAGGAGCACACAATCATATACGCACATATATACATATTTTTAGGTATTTCTGTGTGTATTAATTTTTGTATTATTGTGTCTTTTACAACGATGTCCATTTTTATTTTAAAACTAACCAAACCACTAACATTCTTAATATGTTTTTTATTGAGTTATTTTAGCTCACAGATCGATGTTCTTATTGATTAAATCTACTTTAACCTGACAAACTCACACAGGCACATCCAGCAACCTAAAATAAAGCATTTCATTTTTTATTTAATGTTCCTTTATTAACGTTCCTGGTCTAATGATTCCTTTCCCTCACAGTTCCAGTCGCCGCCCTTCCTGACCCGGAGCTCCCGTTCTGGATTCAGGAACTGGGTAATTTTAATTTCAATATTAATAACCTCATGGGAGGACTGAGGAGAAGGATGAGGAGGTTAAGAGAACTGAACCCCATTGAGGAGGTGGAGGAAGGTTTGGCTGATGATAATGAGGAGGAGGAGGTACATGCTGAAGCAGTAGTGGTGGAGGAGAATGAGGAGGTGGAGATACAGGATTTTGTGGAGGTAGAGGTTGAGGATGAGGCTGAGGAAGAGGTTGAGGATGAGGCTGAGGACGAGGATGAGGCTGAGGATGAGGAGGAGGCTGAGGAAGAGGTTGAGGATGAGGAGGAGGCTGAGGAAGAGGATGAGGCTGAGGACGAGGTTGAGGATGAGGAGGAGGCTGAGGAAGAGGATGAGGACGAGGATGAGGATGATAGGTCTTTTTTTAGTGAGTCTCTTGAGGTATCTATTGAGTTCTCCGGATATGACACCACAAGCTCTGAGGAAGAAGACGATGAAGACGATGGCCATCCTCCGCCTCACCTTCGGTTCACCCAGAGGATTCCCCCCGACTTCAGACTCCCATGGAACCACGAGGAGCCGGAGGATTCTCCGGATTGCCAAGAAGACCGTGCCTCTAGGAAAAGGAGAAGAGACGAAGATGAGGAAGATGATGAAGACGAGGACCACCTTCCGCCTCTCCTTCGGTTCACCCAGAGGATTCCGCCCGACTTCAGACTCCCATGGAACCACGAGGAGCCGGAGGATTCTCCAGACTGCCAAGAAGACCGTGCCTCTAGGAGAAGAAGAAGAGAGGAAGAGGATGAAGAGGAGCCCCCTGGGAAGAGGCCTTGTGGCGAGAGGCATGTTTAAGAAAAGGGATTTCTGGAAACTGGACTGGAAACAGTCACACCTAGATATCATTTATAGATTGTTTTTTATATCTGGCAGGTCTAGGGATGCCTTAGGTAGCGTCTTGCNGAAGACGATGAAGACGATGGCCATCCTCCGCCTCACCTTCGGTTCACCCAGAGGATTCCCCCCGACTTCAGACTCCCATGGAACCACGAGGAGCCGGAGGATTCTCCGGATTGCCAAGAAGACCGTGCCTCTAGGAAAAGGAGAAGAGACGAAGATGAGGAAGATGATGAAGACGAGGACCACCTTCCGCCTCTCCTTCGGTTCACCCAGAGGATTCCGCCCGACTTCAGACTCCCATGGAACCACGAGGAGCCGGAGGATTCTCCAGACTGCCAAGAAGACCGTGCCTCTAGGAGAAGAAGAAGAGAGGAAGAGGATGAAGAGGAGCCCCCTGGGAAGAGGCCTTGTGGCGAGAGGCATGTTTAAGAAAAGGGATTTCTGGAAACTGGACTGGAAACAGTCACACCTAGATATCATTTATAGATTGTTTTTTATATCTGGCAGGTCTAGGGATGCCTTAGGTAGCGTCTTGCGCCGTGGCTTTTCTTTACCCCGCTGCTAGATTAATTTTTTTAGATGCTAAGGATTCTGGCAGGTCTAGGGATGCCTTAGGTAGCGTCTTGCACCATGGCTTTTCTTTACCCCGCTGCTAGATTTTGATGTAAGTTTTAGATGTTAAGAATTTCCGTTAGCACAGACATCTGAGGAGATGATAACAACTAATAAAAGGTGTGAAACATTAGAGCTGGTTAATGCAGAAATAGTCTAACATTCTCTACATCTAATGTGGACATTCTGCTAGATAACAGAAAGCAACACAAACAGTTTTGAAAAGAAGAAACACAGAATGGAGGCAAATGAATAAAAACAAATAAATAAGAAACACAAAAAGACAGAAATTAAATCCTGGTTAAAAGATCAACCACAAGGAGGCAAACCAATTTAACGAAACAGCTGCTGAGGACAAACGGAGGAGGTCAAACTTAAACTCTAAAGGAGAAAAACTGGATAGAATGGAGCAGAGACACAGCTTGTGGTGATCATCAGTTGAACTGGTCTCTGGGATGTTGGTGAGAAGGTAGAGAGATGACGCTTGGTGGGGCTAATTGATTTTAGACCAGTTAGAGGCAGAGGACAGGACT